GGCAACGTAGCGCCCGATCTAGCAACACTGCGGAGACGGGACTTGGAAGGGTGGTAGGTCAACATGTACTGCACCTTCATTACAGGTTTGAACTTGTTAGAGTCATTTTTTGAGTTTGTTCTTTGTGACTGTTTTCGTAAACCGTTTTTTTCTAGTGCGTTTTAAAAATAAGTGACATTAATTTTCAGCAACGGTGTGCTATCAGGTTTTGCCTCAGACTTGGACACAGTGCAACGAATACTTTTGCAAAACTTCAACACACCTACGGAGACAGTGTTTTTTCAAGAAGAGGTTTTTTGCTAGTTTAAGGCAATCTCAGACGGTCGAATGAAGATAAATCACGCAGCGGAAGGCCTTCATCTTCAAGAACCGATTAAAATGTCGATAGAATACGGGATCTTGTGCGTTCAGATCGTCGGTTCAGTAGGTTGACGACAAGAATGATCGGGGAAGAGTTAAATTTGAATCACACCACTGTTCATCAGATTTTGACTAACGAATTGGGGATGAGAAAAATTTGCCCAAAAATGGTTTCAAAAAGCCTTTCGCAGGAACGAAAGGACATCAGGAGAGAAAGGTGTCTTGACTTTTTTTGAATCGATTGAAAATGATCTCCATTTTATGGAACGTGTCATTACTGGTGATGAGACTTGGGTGTTTGAGTACGATCCGGAAACTAAGCGTCAAAGCATGAAATGGCACACGTCAAGCTCTCCAATATCCAAAAAAGCAAGAATGCGCAAGTCGAAGATTAAATGCATGCTGATTTGCTTTTTTGATAGCCAGGGAATTGTCCACAAATAGTTTGTGCCTCCAGGCCAAACAGTAAATCAACACTTTTACAGAGAGGTTCTTGAAACACTTCGAAAAAGGGTCACGCGTGTGAGACCAAACATCAAGAACAACTGGATGTTGCATCACGACAATGCGTCTTGTCACACAACCATTTTGTCAGTGAAAATATTCCTGTGGCTCCTCAGCCTACTTGTTCGCCTGACTTGAGTAGTTGTGACATTTTTCCCGAGATTGAAAAATCATCTCAAGGGACGTCATTTTTGGACCATAGAAAACATTCAAATGGCTGTAACCGACCAGCTGAAGGCTATTCCAGTATATGAGTTCCAGCACTGCTATGAGGAATGGAAGAACTGTCTCAGCGCTGTGTGGCTTCCGTGGGAAGTTATTTTGAAGGAGACAATACTAAATTGTAATTCTATTCGAATTAAAAAATTAAAAAACCAGTCTCATTACTTAATTTACACACCTCGTAACTCAAAAACAAGTGGTCCAAACATAAATTATATATTTTTGGATTTTGAAAATTAAGTTAAGGGGGATTTCTAGTGTGATGCGTTCAGAGAAACGATTTTTTCATTTACATTTTTAAATACTATGAACCCTCTAGAATAACTTCGTGAAAACCGTTTTATCGTAACTGCCTTAAAACCCGAGTAATTCTTATTTTTATGATGCGTTTTTTGCGCGCGCGCTTTGTCGTGCCGTACTTCGCCGCGCCGCAAAAGTGGCCAGGCTTGCTAGAAAACAGGAAGCAATAGAACGCCAAAAATGTTTCGAGGAAGAGGAGGGTTTGATATATGGACCAGGCATCGCAGACTGAATGTAAGTCCTGTTAATTAATTGTAAATCGATCTCAAAACTTTAAACTCGTTTTTCTCAAACCATGTTTTTCACAGTGGTGTGCAGTAGGTACTTTAGTATGGAAAAATTGTTCGAGTTTAACAAATCTGGGCCTAAAATGTTCGGAAGACATGTGATTTTCGTCCCTACCACCATCACATTTTTCGCGGTATTAAGGGGAAAGTTACGGCCACTTAAAGATGAAAAAAATATGGAAAATTTGAAAATCGATTTCGAATTTCGCGCCATTTTTGATTTTTTTTTATTCTGGTAGGAACGATAACTACAATCGACTTCAAAACGAATTTGACGACGAATTTGAAGTCGTTCAAAAACTTTATTAAAGGCATTTTTGTAAACTACTTCCTGAGTTACACTCCATCATACGGTATTATGAAAGTAGACATTTTTGAAATAAATAGTAATAATAATAAATAGTACAAAGGGTATAATAGGATAAGTGGGGCATAGCCCACTTATCCTGGCCATACTCTTTGCTGACCTTACTACAGTGAACTGCTACAGCACTGCCCTCGCATTAATCAAGTCGATAGTTCTGTCATATTGCATTTCCTAACATGAAATTAAATTTCCCAATTTTGTTCCAAAAAAAAAATATGGGAGTTATGGGGTTAAAAAATAAAGAAAACAGATATTCTCGAGAACGGGTGAACCGATTTTGACTAACAAAAAATATGTTGAGACTCGGTGGGACAATGTTAGAAAAATAATTGGAAATTATTTCCTATGCAGGAAGTACTGAAAAAAAATTGTTTGCAGAAGAAAACGAGATATTTTTCATGGCACGCACTTGCGGTCCTATTCATTATCATAAAAAAAAAGATGAACTTCCTTTCGTTCAAAAACCTACTACCAAAATATACGCTTTAAATAGGCTGACAACAGTGCCCCCTTCTCCTAATTAAAGCACACGGTTTTTAGCACCACCAGTAGACTCAGCATCAAAAAATTACCCTGGATGCAAATTTTAGTAAGACCTTTTGGGCGTCGCCTTCAGGGGGTTCTATCTACCTTAGGAAGTATTTCCTAAGTTCCTACTGGACTTTCATTCTTATTTTGACCTAAGGAATCGCCTCATCTTTAAACGTTTTTTTTTCTGGACAACCGCTACAGTGTTCAATAAACCGTCCATGAAGCAATGGAAATGTTTTGACTTTACTTAAGTACGTTATGATGCTCTGATAATTTTGAAACTTAAATATTATATAGACATAAAAAACACGTCATCAAATCTGGCTATGAACGAGAGAGATGGAAATAGCGGTTATATCGAAGCGGTTATATACTCAAAACGAAACGTCAAACTTTTGGCAAGTGACTCACAATTGTAAAATAAATAATGACTGTCATATAATGTAGCAGCTTTGACAATTAAATAAGGTTATAAACTTAAGATACAATTAGAACAGATTAAGAATTTTTTTTTGCTCGGCCGATTTTGATGACATTTTTTTTCGTTCGTTACTATGGAAGTTGAAAATTTTTCTCGCTGAAGTGAAGTGCATACAATGAAAAAAAAATGTCAGCACTCCCTGTGTAGGGAATAATTTCCAAATTTATTATCACTTATTTACCATGAAGAGGTCTGAAGCTGATTAGATTTTGAGCTTACTATGTTAAGGGGTTGGAGGATACATGGGGGTAATACATTTTCCCCTTGTCTATAGGTAATTAGCAAAGATGCAAGATAAGCACCGAATTTGAGACACATATGCAACGTAACAAAATCTACAAATATAAAGATTTTTAGCTTAATGGGGGGGGGGGGGGGGGGGTATTTAAGACGGTTGAAGTACGTAATCAAAATAAGTGAAACAATAGTTTTTTAAATGTGGACATAGTTTATAAAAATCTTCTATTCTTCTAATAAATGTCATGTGGGTAAAGCCTGGTTCTCAGAGCTTCGTCGTGTGGCTGGCGACACATCACCGACCAATAAAAACGTTTTATTTAATTTCCCCTACATCCAATCAAGTTTATTTTACTGTCGCTGCGACTGCCATGTGTAGTTGAAATATTTCAACTACCCAATCTGTCGCGAGTGGCTCTTCTTACTTTGTTTATGTAAATGGCCATTTTTTCATGGTTTCGGCATGACAAATAAGAACTTCTGCTGTACTTCCGAATAGGGAGTATCTCCAAATCGTTTGAAATTTGGTATACGGGGTTTTTTTTTGGTGTGCTGAGTACGAATCTGCGTATAAAAATATCCGCAAGTGTCCGCAAGTGCCAACAAGTAAGGTTAAAATGCGTCAAAATCGATAAATGAAAGTGTTCGACATCTCGCTTATCAATCAGTATGGATTTCAGTATTCGGTGCTATGTGTTTTTTTTATCTCTCTTATTCTCTGGGCAAATTTCGATCCTGTATTTTTCTGGTTCGCCGCGTACGATAATTCCGAGAAGCCATGATCCTTCGACAACTCGTCCACGTTCGTACTTTCGACGTCCACTTTTACAGTCGTCAATCTCAACAATTACACCCTCACCTCCAATTTGGCTTTCCCCGACAAAACTATTAGTAGTTCATTGAAAAAAAAATAGTTTTCAAATAAACCATTTCAAATGCCACATAGGAACTGGTATACACCAATATTACAATTTAAAACTTCCACCCTCGATATCTCGAAAACCAAGCGAGATATCGACTTTTTTACGAGAATAATAATAATTATATAATGATAATAATATAATACTCACCCTATAATTACTCCGAAGAGTAAGGACTTAGGTCCTCTCAGGGACCTGTGCGGGAAGGAGTGGCTATTATTATTATTTGCCATGGCGCATTGGGAGCGACTTAAGGTTATTTCGGTAACGCATTTGCTTTACAGTTCTGAGGAAACCCAGAAAACTCAGAACATTACCAAATTTAGGGCATTACCAAATCTAGGGCATAAAAAGTGTTTATTTTGCGGCGTCACAGAAATCGTAATCGTGCACATTTTAACCTTACTTATCGGCTCTTAGAGGCACTTACGGACACTTTCGGGCACTAAAGTAAAAAAAAAAACACAAAATAAACGAATATGAAGGGAGTTTTTGTGTCTTATTACCAATATTTAGTTCAAAAAGTTAACAAGTATATCTAGAAATCTAGTGGTATTCCGTGTCGCGACTACTGCAAGTAATAAACATTTTTTTAAGTAGTGGGGAAATGTCGCGGCGACATGACGGAGCTCTGAGAACCAGGCTTAATACAGATCATATGAGTTATAAAGATCATAATCACACCACAGAAGTTGACATTCTTCCCATAAGAATCATTACGATTGTGCAGAGGAAGAGTACACACAGAAAGGAAGTACGACACACTACCAAACCCTGTGACAGGTGCCAATTGCCACAGGCGGGATTCGAACCCGCGTAGGTAATTAGTAAAACTCTTCCAGACTAGTCACTATCTCCTATCTTGCGCTTTACCCACTGAGCTATCGCCGCGATGTATAATGGTTATACAAGTCATATTGGTCATAAATGTCATATGGGTCATACATGTCATAACAGCCATAAAGATCACAAATGTTATACATATATAAATGTTATGACATTTCAAATACACTTTGAAAAACAAAACCTAACGTTTTTAACGATTTAGTCTAATGGAATGTGGAGAAACTGGGCGTGGAAGTAGTGATAAGATAGGTTTTACATATTCATATTCAAAAAGATCATATCCGTCATAAAATTCATATAGGTTATAAAGGTCATATAGGTCATAAAGGCCATGTTGGTCATAAAGGTCATATTGGTAATAAAGATCACATAAACCATCAAGCCATATTGATCGTAAAGGCCATATAGGTTATGAGGATCATATAAGTCATATAGGTCATACAGGTCATAATCAAATATCACACTTTTAAGAACATAACCGGTTTTTAGCGATTTAGTCTAAATATGGAAAAAGTAGATGTTAGTAGTGGTTCTATATCCATCGGCGGCGGTTTTTTATACTAGATATCAAAAATTTTGCTGTTATACAGGCTGTCTGATAAAAAACGCCGCGAGCCATAACTCCGTTATTTGTAGCCTGATGTTAAAAAACAAAAAAACAGATGAAATGGCTCTAAAGGAACTATAAGTGAGACTACTGCAGTATTTTTCGACTTTTTTTTTCTGAAACGCGATAGGTAGTCAACTTTTTTTTCAAATGGCAATATAGGAGTTTTTTGTAAATTATTATGCAAATTTGTTTTCTGAATCCAACGATGAATAACAAATTGAATTTTGTGACACTTAGAAGAAAACAAATGGACAATAATCAATTAACGGATATGATTTAGGTATATTTTTAGTATAATATAAAGCGTGGTGCCGTGGTGCGGCAGTCCGCCTTTACAGAGAGCGGTTTCCTCACAGAGAAGTTCCAGAACCACGTAAATTTGGAAGACTTGAAGAAAATTTACAGAACTATAGAGCTTTTAAGAAACCAAAACGAGAAATACGTCGATTTAATGAAAACACAGAGCTCAATGTTCTTCTTAATGTTGAAGACTATTATAATATAACGCCGACTATTATAATAACTATTGTATATACGATAACTGCCTATTGCCTATTTACCTATTGAAGAACTGAATATAATGTATTTCCAGCGAGATGGGGCTCCCCCTCATAATGCCAGAATAAATACCAGTTGGTTAAACACTACATTTAATGATAGGTGGATAGGAACTTATGGACCTATTCGATTGCCTTCACGTTCACCAGATCTTACTCCACTTGATTTTTGGTTGTGGGGCTATATTCAAGATCAAGTTTAACACCGCCCGTAAATTAAGAAAATCTAAGGTAATGAATTATACGTGCTTGCCGCGAAATACCCCCTGATTTTATATTCAATGCGACCCATGCCGTATTCAGAAGATGCCAGGCATGTCTTAATTACGCCGACAGTCAATTTGAGCAGCACTTGTAGTAGGTTGAGCATTAGTTTAATATCATTTATATCATTAATATCATTAGTATAATATCATTTGCTTTGTTAATTTGTTTGTTTAGTTGTTTTGTGTTCAACTTTGTTGTACTTTGTTTAACGCTATTTCGTGTTTAACTGTTCAATGTCGTATATTGACAAATATTTTGGCACTTTTTCCGCAATAAACGTGTCACAAAACAAATTTGCATAATAATTTACAAAAAAAATCCTATATTGCCATTTGAAAAAAAAAGTTCACTATCGCGTTTCAGAAAAAAAAGTTGAAAAATACTGCAGTAGTCTCCCTTATAGTTCATCTAGAGCCATTTCATCTGTTTTTTTGTATTTTAACATCAGACTACAAATAACGGAGTTTTTTCGCTCGCGTTTGGCTCGCGGCGTTTTTTATCAGACAGCCTGTATATTGGTACAATACTACGCATATCCAGGCATATAAGTGCCGTGTCTACGTTGTTTATGTTTCTAAGAATAAGGCTAATCTAAGTATCTTTTTAGAAAATATAAATAATATAATTTTTGAGAGATATTATTATATCAATTTTCAACCAGTTCAACAATTTTTCGTTATAGATTTAAATTAAAAGTATCGATAACCAATACTTGATACCAGTGGCGGCCGGTGGAATTTGACATGCTTGTATTTCCGTAAGGAGGCATGGGACCCACATCATATTTTAGGGTGTGATTACTAGACCTAAGTAGAAGGCTATAATGGTAAAAAAATCTTCCGGGAAAACTTGCGAAAATTATCTTTCATAAATTTTTATGAAAATTTCTTTTCATAATCACCGAGTCCATACAATTTTTTTTTATAGTTGTGTTTTTGTAAAATTCTGATTTTCCTTAAAGATACAACTGTTGTAAAATCTCATAGACGAATGTTGGGATGATACAAAAATTCAAATTACCGTAACTTTTACAGATCTCAAAATGTCAAGAAAATCACAAGTATTAAAAAAAATGTATTTACTCGATGATTATAAAAAAAATATTTCGTAGATATTTTGCAAACCGTTTCTAAGATTTGCCCGGAGGCAGCCATTTTTGAAAAAAAAAATTTCGCAAGTTTTCCCTGAAGATTTTTTGCCATGATAGCCTTCTACTTAGGTTATTAAATTCTTATTTTCCTTAAAGATACAACTATTGTAAAATCTCATAGACGAAATGTTGTGATGAAATAATTTTTCAAATTTCCATAACTTTTACAGATATCAAAATTTCGAGAAAATCACAAGTATAAAAAAATTGTATTCACTCAGCCGTTTCCAAGATCTGCCAGGAGGCAGCCATTTTTGGAAAAATAATTTCGCAAGTTTTCCAAGAAGATTTTTTGCCATTATAGCCTTCTGTTTAAGTTTAGTAACCACCCCTAAATTATGGTGTGGGGCCCAGGCCTCCCTTACGAAAATACGAGCATGTTAAATTCCACCGGAGCGGCGGCCACTGCTTGTTACCCATAAATAGTAACAAGGTTTTAATTGCATATGTATGTAACACACATGTACATATATTTACGTACTCGTGTCTGTGAAAGAAAAACTAAAAAAATAAATAGTCTTTAATACACTCCTACTCTTCTTATCTAATAACTTTAGTGTAAGTTAAAAAAAGGCAAAAAGTACACAAAGGCAGCCTTCTATAGGATACTCATGTTTTATGTACACTACTCTTTAAAAAATAGTTTAGATTTCACCAAGATATAAGTTTTTATCGTTCTCTCGTCCACTTATTAGATTAAATCGTTGTCAATGACGACATTGATGGAAAATATATAAGTAAACGCCATATTTATATTTTCTGGTTTTCCTTGTTGTTGCTAGAACTATTGCGTTGGTGAGACATACAAGTATGTATTTCAAATACCATATTATATAGGGTACCAGGGTTTTTAATTGTCGTATTATTAGTAAAATTTCTCTCCACTAAATACTATTTCGAAGAAGGAATAATATTAATGTTCCGGCGGTACAAATTAGAACATAATTTTGAGAAAGTTTGAAGTTGCTCTTCATTATTGTTGTTAATTAATTGCAACATTAAAGAGAGGTAATAACATCATCGTTATTACTTCAATATATTGCATTTTATTGTGAAAATTACTTTCAGATTTGTATACTATGACTTGGAATTATTTTTAATTTTTTTCATAGGCGCTTTGAGAATGATTCACTCTTTGTTTAACTTTATTATTACTTACTACCAATAACAAACTTAAACCAACAAAAGGAAACAATAATATGGGATTTATGTATACTCCCTAGGTTCATCAGTGAAAATAAAACGCATGAATTAATTGTTGTACAATAGTGTAGGTATAATATATTATGTCTAATTATATAATTTAGTGTTTTTATTAAATCATAGGAATTAAATAATTAAATCATAGTAATACCGGGTGTTAACGTAGTGCCACAATGGAATAGAAACGGAATTTGGAGAGGACAGTATACTTACAGAAACGCCAATTTTTCATTTATTTGATGTGTTTGCATCATCGGTTTCATCGCAATTGCCTCCAACTTTGAACTTTTAAATAAAATATTCTGTAAATTCTAACATACTTCGATTCTGCATTAAATTTGATATACGGCGCACGTAAAACGCCATCTTTAAATATTTCGATAAAAAAAGTTTTTTCAAATTTTCGTAAATATTTAAATTAGTTACTGGTTTCGACAATTTGCTATTCAATGGACATGTGTCCCCCTCAGACGGTCAACGCTGACCATACCAAAAACAGAAAATTAGGGCCCAGAATCATCATGATCGTTTTGTTGTGCTCGTTATAGAATCGAAAATCGTTACAGAATATTATATTTTTGCAATTAAAAAAAAATTCAAATTTTCAGCAAAATCGAAATTCCTTAAACGTTAATAAAACCATATTTCTTACTTGAAAATGGTTATTTCTCTCCTCACTCTTAGTTGAAATAAGGGTGGGACGACCCAAGAGCACACTTTAAAGTGACATATAACTCCGTTATTTTTTTGTTGATTTTCTCAAGATATAACTAAAAAATATATAAAAAAATCTATTGATTCTTTTACCGTTAAGAAATATATGCACTAAAATATATACACTAGTACAGAAATATAACAGATATAAGTTACTTAAAAATATTTTTATTTATTCTTTAATAATATCCTGGATATAGTATTCGATTACTCCAAATGTCAGCGATGAGTCATATTTTCATTGTCAATGCATACTTTGACAAATTTTGTTTTACTAAAATTTTTAATAACTAATTTTGATTTTACGAAAAATGTATGTATGTACCTATATAAACAATTTCGCCATATTTATTAGAAATTTTAATAATCTATTTATTTTAATAAAATCTGCCGTATAGTAAATTTTATACGGAATCCAATTATGTAAGGATATACAGAATATTCCATTTAAAATTCCAAAGTTGTAGGCACTTCTGGTGAAACCGGGCGGTAACATATTAAATAGTGAACAACTGTCGTTTCCATAAGTACCTATATATTTGTA